AAGGTGAGCAGCTTGACTCCACTATATGCTCCTCACCATGATGCTCTGCCTTACCTTGGGCCTGGAAGCAACAGAGCCAAGTGACTACGAATTTATGCCTGTGACACTATGAACCAGAATGAATCCTTCCTCCTTTAAGTGTTGTTTTTTTTCTCAGATATTTTGTCACAGTGGTGGAAAGCTGACACAACAGATAAGTACAGTTTGTGGCAATATGTGACAGATACTCTTATGGTAGTGAAACATGGAGCCTTCATCTCCTGATGGTGAGATGAAGATGGTCTTGAGCAAGAAGATGCAGTCAAGCTAACCTTAAAGTTTACTTAATCTTATTTAAGGCAGAGGGGGAGGAAGAGAGATACAGGTAGAGAGGAAGGCATATACAAACTCAAGAAGTAAAATAAGTCAATTTTGGAACAAAGTTTGGGCAGAACACTGGGTGCCATTTGGGAACAATGGAAAAGGACACTTTTCTGCCTGGGATTTGAATTTAAAAGGTTCGAAGCCCATCCCAAGGTGCCTAAGAAGCTAATGCTGTTGTATTTGTTTCTGCTTTTAGCATGGAAGCAATATGATCACTGTAGTTGCTGGTTGTAATAATATATCATTATAGTTGTATAGGGAAATGAATCTGAGCATAATTTAAGAATAAATTAAAGAGGCAAGGAAAGAAGAGATGGAGTCAGGGGAGTTGTCAGTAGTCCACTACAATGATCTAGATTTTAAGAAATAAATGCCTTCACTTGGCTGGTAGCAAGCAAAAGCCGTCAGAAACAGTATGAAAGAAGGAATTAATAGAACTTGCCAGTGGATCAAATACAGGGCTAGGGGCAATATATGTATGAAGTCAAGAGCAATACAGAGATTTGTCTGAGAAGCAATCATCTGGAGCCTCAGACCCAGGTTGCTCCTCCCCTTCCTCAATGCATTCTTCCTGCTCACTCTCATCAACTTCCAAGGATTCACGTTCAGTCTGTGTCCAGTTGGTTCCCAATTATTTCCAGTATTCACCTTCTCTTCAGCTCCAGGGTTGTGAGGTTTACATTTTTTAAATTATTTTGTTTTTTAGTAGATGACATGTAAAACAGGAATCTCCGTCCTACAAAGACTTCCACCTTCCCAATTCCCTTCCCCGGAGGCAACTGAACAGTTTTTTATAAATGTGTACTATGTAGGAACAAAACAAATTCTTGTTCTCCCTAAGTTTGTTTTTCCTTCTGTATTCCTAATGACAGTACCACTTAGTATTATAATTTCCTGAATTATTACTAGGTACCAGGCAATATGCTAGGCAATACATGTTTATTATTTCTAATCCTCACAAGGATCTTGCAAATGATTATTTTACAGATGAAGAAAACACGAATAAAGTTGTCAAGAGCTTACACAAGCCCAACCAGCTGAAAAATAGTAGATGTGGTTGTGAATCCACAAGGCAGGCTCTTCCCAGCATTGCTTGCTAACTGTCTTGGAAATGTTCTGACATTCTTTATCCTCTCTCCCCTCTGCCAGAGCCATTCACAACCCCTAAACCACCACTTTGGATATGTGATCTCAAAAATACCTCACCCCCCATCAATTTCCATTCAGACTACACAAACATAAATCTGAGTACATATATAATGAACCTGCTTGTCTCACAACTGTTCACAGAATAGAGGTCAAATGCCTTAGTTGCAAGACTTACCCTGTGTTCACAGTTTGACCCTAACCCATGTCTCAGCCTCATGTCTCAGCATTTGTCATGGAGCCCTTGTTGTGTGCTGCACACTGAAGATAATCCAGGAAGTACCTCATCCAACTCTCCTCTGCTTGATAAAACTTGCACTTGTTTGGCCCAGCTGCTTCAGACTAGTCCATCTTCTGACTTCAATCTTTTCAAGCCCCAGATTCCCTCCCTACTCTGGCAGCTGGTATCTGGAGATACTCATGCATCCTTATAAGTTATCTATCCCTCTCCCTCTGTACACCCAGCACAGGGTTGTTTTTATTATAAATCATCTGGTGTGAATTTTGTCACAACTCCCAAGATCCCTGACTAAGGTAGAGCTCAAAACTTCTTTCTCTGATATATTCTGTAACCTGGAGGCCAGGGTTAAACATTTTCTCTCTTTCCCTTATTGCAGCAGCCCTAAGACCTTCATCATGGGGTTGATCTCCCTTTTGCAGCATTGTTTCCACACATGCTAAATGAGGCCCTCTGCTCACTTCCTCCAGACAGGTGTAGCCCAGAATGACATTTCATACAGTGCCAGAAAATATAGTACATGTTCTCTAAGTATTTGTTCAACTAGTAAGTGAATTATTCATCTTTTATTCTCTAGCAAAGTGTGCAGTACCTAGCAGAGACACAGTGGTTTTGTTTGGCAATGAATGAATGAAGTTTATTGGTTTTTGCATAATTAAATTAATATTTAGCTTTTGTCTTTAGATTTGTGAAATTAACAAGTAGTTTCTCCCTTAATTTCACTGATATCCATTCTCATCCTCCAACCCTTCATTCCATCCATTTAAAATATCTTTCAAAAGTCTCTTCTCAGTTCCAGGCACAGACTAAAATAAGTCCTAAATTCCTACAAAAATTAAATTAATCCCTTCGTTTTCCCATGGAAAATACATTATTTTATCATTAACTTTGATGTGTTGTGCTCTGCTCATTTTAATTTCTGAAAGCTTTCCTTTGCTTTGTCTCATTAGTATTATTGGATGTTTATATAACAGGATTTAAATTCTTAGTGCGACAGAGAAATATTTAAACAACAAAATAACATTAATACAACTTTCAAAACACAGTGGAGGCTGGGGATTTAGCTCAGTGTGGCTCCGCTGCCTGCCTCGAAAACTCAAGGTCCCAAGTTCAATCCCTGGTACCAAAAAACAAACAAACAAGCAAACAAACACAGTGGAGCCTCAAGTTACAACCGGCCTGACATATAAACAACTTGGGTTACCACCAGAATTTTAGTTTTAACTTACGACTATGGTCTTGAGTTATGACCCGAATGCCAGCTGCTTGTGCTTCCAGATGGTCTCAGATACAGACATAACCCTTAAAGAGTTCTGGAAGGAACATCACACATCCTTTCCTGAGTGGGATTAATTGAGAAATCCTGGCCAATGTCTCTCTCAGGACACTGAGATCTGCCCGTATGTGGGAGACTTTGAAGGCAATTGACAAATTTGAGTTACAACCAGCCCTTGCAAACAAATTGAGTTCATAAGTCAAGGGTCCACTGCACTATGTATTTCTTAAATTTAAAAAATAATTTTAAATTAAAGATTCATAACATTTTTAGCTAAGCTATTTTATTCTATGGTCACCTATTATTTTATAATAGTAAGAATTATGCAGTAATTATGTGCTATCATTTACAAGTAAATATTATGTTAATATATGTGGCATTCACACATTGAGGGAATACTCTTAAGTGAAATAAATAGGACACACATGTGTAAATAC